TTCTGTCACGGAAGACATGGATTCTGACTTTCCGTGACATCCATGACTTCTGCAGCTGCAGCAGTCTGTGCAGCTGACTGTGAGGCACCCGAGCAGCTGGCCCCAGGGCCAGCCACATCGGCCCATTAGTGCCAAGATCTAGTCACATCTTTCTTCACGCCCTCTTTGACGACACAGAGTTCCACGTGGCTAATATCTTTCAGTTTTAAAGGGCCTTTCCTTCAGAAGGAAAAGTCATTCATAGGAACCACTTCACCCACAACTGAAATTCTCCATGACAGACTGTAGAATGTATCCTATGAGGTGCTGTTGTATGTTGTTAAGCAATACATCAAGACAAAGTGAAGAACCCCATCAACTGAAATTACAGAGACTATCAGTAGACAGAACGTAATTACCCAAACTGGAATCTGGCCAGGAGACCAAGGTTAACACCTCTCTTATAAGAAGTACCATAGTCAGCCCCTATAATCATTGTGCCGATTTCTGTCTCATTATAGAGAGAGAAAGACAGGCAGTGTCATCATCAAAACGTATAATTGTGTACATCAGAGGGATACCATCTTGGGGGAAAAAAATCACATTTCTGTCTAAAAGCTTTAAACCCAATAGTTACAAGCAACAGCAAGATTACACACACTGAAAGTTAACAAGAAAACTTTTTCTGGTTTACTTTGAATATTTGACACTTTCTGAATAGTCATTTTCATTTTTTCCCTTGGTCAGTTTTTCCTCTTCCTGTTAAGATCCTTATAAATATGAAGAGGGTAGCTCAAACTTATACTATTTATTATTTTATGTACAGAGAAATATTTTTTTAAAAAATAGGACATTCTATTAAATTCATATATGATTAAAACTGGAATTTTAAAAAAAAGTTTCCAAGAAGTTCAAGTTGACAGCCTCTCTTTAAAACACAGAGTATTACACAACATTTCCCTTCACTTCTGGGCTCACTCCTCAGATCCTGAACATTAATATTACCTTTACAGTTTAATTTAGGCAACAGGTGAAAATTAAACTATAAGTGCAGTTCTAGGCCCAGCAGTTAATTGTGGGGACGTTGTTATAAAGGAGAAACCATTGCATTTCGCCCTAATATGCACTCATTCAAATTAATTAAGGATACATACAGTGTCTGAGCCAACTCAGACACTATTTCACTGATTTGTCTGTGCTATTAAAGTCTCATCAATGTTCCTATTAAACATGCATCAAATCAAACAAAACATATACCTAACTCATTTTTATTTGTTTTTCAAAATCATTAGATTATAGATTCTTTACCTGCAAGATTATATTAAGACATTTGATTTGTAGAACCATTAAAATTGGTTACTTTCTATAGGAGTGGGGCTCCTTGAAATGATTGTCAGTATGGATCCCCACTCTTGGAATAAATGAGCTTCTGGTGCAAGAGCTTGGATCCTTCTAGATAACAGTGTCCACTGGACCATTCACCCTCCGCTGTCTCCAAATTTTTAAGGAGAATGGTTCCAACTGCTCCTGCAGTTTCTTCCACTGATTCAGAAATTTTCATAGCAGAGACTCTGAAGTAGCATGGAATTGTTGATCCTTATAGGTGATCAACTCAAACAGCCACATAGCAAGTAACTTTCTTTTTTTGTGAATTACCCATAAGGTTCCTCCTTTTTTGGAGATTAACAAGAAGTTATGAACTGCCAAAAGGAAGGTCTGAAAAGTATTAATTAAGAGGTACTGCAAGATTGCGCCTCTGAATTGGGCATCTAATGTACAGCCCAAAGCAAGAGTATAGTGTTGCAAAAGTGTGTATACAGACCATTGCATATTTCAGTGATTGACACAGTGCACATGGATATCGTAGAAGCTGCCTCAGACTTAGCCGAGTGCACTCCAATACCTCCAGGTGGCTGAATGCCTGCCAGGTACCAATAACTATATAAATATAACCTAATACATTTGGACACTCTTTGAGCAGAGAGGTCATAAAAAATGTCTAGAGAATTTATGCATAGATTCAGTACTAGAGCCTGATCTCCCTTCAAGTGAACTAGACTCAGCACAATTTACAAGCAGGCTAATTATGGGAGTGAGATCACGGGCCACTTTAGAAAGGAATTAGGAGTGGGCACTCAGGACTAAAATTTTTATGGACATGGTATAGAAAGGAACAACCTTGACGACTACAAAGCACTAACTTGTGGTTGTGATAGGAGTATGTGGAATACCGTCTCCAAAGACAACAGTCTGACAAAGTTCAGATTCAGATCCCACATGAGAAGTACTGTATGCATTAGAGGAAATATCGTGGAGTTACCCTTTCAGAAACTTAGTTATCATAGTGTCAATGAAGATTGCCCATCTACGTACCAGACTGTGGAAAGCAGACATGGCACCCAAGTAGAGCCTGACAAAACTCAGACAGTTTTGACTGTTCCAAGTGTAGTAGCCTGCTCAAAATGACTACAATGGGATCAAGAGATCCACTATACTAGGAAGTGGGATATGTGCTTCCAACTTCCTGAGAGTTAGAGAATGAAAAGTACTGAGCTCAGGCCAGAACTAGTAACAGCATTTTGCTCTCAATCTGCCTGAATTATCAATATATTTTGGGAGCACCAGAATTGGTGAATTTTTGATCCCAGTCCAAGAGATAATCCTCTGTCAGTGACACTGGGTTGAACCCACACTAGATTACACCCAGAAATATCTAGCACTGATTGGCAGCAAAGCACCCCAACTAGGGGTTTCCCTCTTGCAGAACAAAATGCATGATCAAGGCCCAAAGGGACCATTCATGGTGCTAATTTTACTTTCAATTTAAGAGCTTTGCTATGACACTGCTTTTCTTTGTCACATGAAGAGTCAGCAGAGTGATGTATGGCAGTTGCTTCAATTAAAAAAACTAAACTTCCTGAGTGAGCTAGCAAGATTGGGCACCATCATAATGGCTGGGGTAACTATCATCAAGGTGCTGTCTTGACAACTTTGGATCAAATCAGAGGGAAAATAGCCCTGCAAGACAGAAACTAATCCTGCAGTGTCCACAATCCTGAATAATTGGATTGTCTCTCTGAGGACCTCAGACCAGTCCTGAGGCCTCACTGAACATTACCTCAGGTAGGAAAATAAGTGAGAAGGGAACTACTTCTAGGGGATGGTCATCCTTCATCTGCCGCAGTTGAAAATCTCAACGTGACCTGAGAAAACACAGTTATAGAAAGGAACAACCATCCCATCAGGACTATAAATCTCTAACTTTGATGGTCTCTGTGAGGACATGCTAAGGTGCCCATGCTATCACGACGGGCACAGTACACCTTCTTTAACCAACATTGCATAGGACTCAGACATACTCTGAAAAATGGTGTCACAGATGCGCATGAAGCCACAAGGCCCTACAACACTAGGAAAAATCCCACATACTCAAGTCTGTGATATTATAGTATGTTGTCTCCTGGCTGCTATGGCATTTGTGCTCTGGCACTGTAAAGGAGTGGATTTCATCCGACCAAAGGAGTGAAGAAGTCAGGAGATTCATAGGTGGCCTGAGAATTTTTGATTTTTCCTAATGTGTCAAATAAATGCCTCAAACGTGGACATTTGTAATGGAAATTATGTCACTGCAAGAAGCACAAGGCTTGAAACCCACATCTCTAAGCTACTTTATCCATGTCAATGGCCACAGACAACGAAAACACACATAAAATAAAAATAATCAACCTAACAAAATTGAAACATGGAAAAATGAAGCCTTACAAGAGGGCTGGACTCCAACCTAAATACAGACTAGACATTTCCAAAAAAACAAGTTCCCAAAGGGACAGAAATATGACACACCCAGTAAGCAGAACATCAAGGATATTGATGCTTCAAGTAGTGAAGAAGTCAAAAGGAAGTGAAGGGTGGTTAAAGGTTACAGTCTCTTTTCTATCCTCAGTATTTAAAGCAAGGAAGGAGAGAGATGAATGTACCCCGGACACTGCTTGCTAGAGGCTTCTCAGCTTGCACACTGGCATTGTTTGGATCCCAGTAGTGGGAATCTAAATTGGCAATTCTCAGAACTAGAAACTTTTTTTTTTTTGGTAATCTTACATCAAATTCTCCCAACAACTTTTACAAATGTAAAAGTGATTCATGTCCAAGCTGTATACACTGGTGTCAGAATGAAAGCTGAGTAACTGTATTGAGCCATTTACTAAAATTATCAGAACTATCTGAGCAGTGATTGACAAACCTGTCCTTGGGTCATATGCTGGCAGCTCACAGTGCTAGCTGGTCACATAGTGCTGCTAGCTCCTCATTTCTGGGTGTTAAGATGGCAGAATACAACATTAAGTACACTCCTCAAGTTATTGGTATAGCTGTCCCCAAAATATAATGCAGTTGGAAATGTGAGAGAAGGTTCATCCATGCAACTGCATATGGGAGGGAAGATTGTCGCTGTATTACCATAACATCCACCCTTTAAATATTTGAAAATCCATGATGCTAAACGCTCTAGTGGAATCAATGAGAAAGAGGACAACTTCTGTTACATTCATGAATTAAGTTCAGATCAATACATTGCTACTTTTTGTCAGGACAAGTGAGCATAGAGACCCTGAAATTTACCACAAAGAAACTTGATCAAATGCGAGTACTTTGTACTATAAACGTTGTTTTCAAAGGTGTTTTAATGTGTGATCAGAGATACAGTGCCTTGGCCCAAGAGAATTAAATTGTTATTAAAATTAAAAAGAGAGACAGATTTTCTATTATTGCCTCATTTTATTTATTCATTAGTAAACACATGCTCTAAAAGAAAAAATATGATTGGAGACTGAACTCTTAAAAGAATGTCAAATACCTGCTGCAGAATTACAAGGATATAAAAATGCAATAATCAGTCTTACACAGCGTGGAAAATCTTTAGAGCAGACAAGAGTCACATGGTGAAGTGGTATAAAATAAGAACGAATCAGAGAATGAAACACACAAAATCTTACTTGAGAGAGAGAACGGTAAGTGTTACTCACAGAGCTTCTCCTGCAGGAGGTTTGTGTGAATTTGTCAGCATATGTGCACGTCGTCCCTTTAGGTTTTTGGCCATCTTTGTGACAGTTACACCTAGTTGCCTTAGCCCCCCATCAAAGAAAAGAAAGAAAACAATGAATGTATTACACATTTTTTTCCAATGAAACACAATGTGAATGGTATTTTTGTAATAAGACTCAAGTTTAATGTTCAACCATTATGTGGTATGTTGCAAAGTGATGTAATGATTTTAGCTGGGGAACTTGTATTTAAAGTCCTACACAACTGGCCATCAGGAAGTTTAGACTTGAAATTAGATGAAGGTTTCTAACCATCAGAGGAGTGAAGTTCTGGAACAGCTTTCCAAGGAAGCAGTGAGGGCAAAAGACATATCCGGCTTCAAGACTAAGATTGATAAGTTTATGGAAGGGATGATATGATGGGATAGCCTAATTTTGCCAATTAATTTATCTTCGACTATTAGCACTAGATATGCCCAACGGCCTGTAATGGTATGTTAGATCAGGTAGGATCTGAGTTATTACAGAGAATTCTTTCCTGGGTGTCTGGCTGGTGAGTCTTGCCCACATGCTCAGGGTTTAGCTGATCGCCATATTTGGGGTCGGGAAGGAATTTTCCTCCAGGGCAGATTGCCAGAGGCCTTGGGGGGTTTTCGCTTTCCTCTGCAGCGTGGGGCACGGGTCACTTGCTGGAGGATTCTCTGCACCTCAAAGTCTTTAAACCATGTTTTGAGGACTTCAGTAGCTCAGACATAGCTTTGAGGTTTGTTACAGGAGTGGGTGGGTGAGATTCTGTGGCCTGTGTTGTGCAGGAGTCAGACTAGATGATCATAATGGTTCCTTCTGACCTTAAAGTCTATGATTCTATGAATGTTTTCCCAGAGAATGCTTATAAATAATTTAGAATTGATGTTCAGGTTTTAGGTGGGGGAGTGGGTTATGCTCACTTAAATTTCTAAAAGCCTGTCTACACAGGGCAGTTAGTACAGAGTAAGCTAGGATGTGAATTTAAAATGCACTAACTATTCCACATTAACACGCTGTGTAGACAGTCTTAGAGCACACTGAAAGTGCCTTTGTGAGGGATAGCTTAGTACAAGCTTCTACTAGCTCAGTTGCAACTGTATGAAGCTAAACTGCAGAGGTACTTTTATAGTCTACATGGAGTGTTAGTGTGGAATAGTTAGTGCACTTTAAAATTCACACCCTAGCTTACTCTGCACTAACTTCCCATGAAGATAATCCCTACATTACTATATTCAGTGCATCTTCAAATAATTATGATCACAAGATCTATTCTTCTTTAGAATACAGTTCCCGTCTACATACCAAAGTTTGTCAATTGCTGTAACAACTAGGTATACAACCCATCAAGAAAGTAAATATGATGTGAAGGTCTACTAACTGTAGGTAAGACTGGTTTTTTTAATTTTATTTTATTCATTTGTCTTTTTGTTATTGTATTACCTGGAATTCTATGATTTAAAGTGAATAAAAATAAAAAACTAACTTTTCATTTCCCTTTCAGAGAAAGAAAGTGAATACAAGCCACGTATACATGCCAGGCCAGTTTCAATGAGTATATGTACACACATATATTTGCAAACAGAGATGGAGATAGTATCCATGTGAAAAATTGCAGAACCATATGATAAATCAATACATCATGCACCTTTGACCACTTCCTTTTACCTCAGCCCACAAACCTCTCCCCTTGGGCCTTAGTCTAACGTCATAAACCTGTGAAAGTCTTTAAACAGCCATTAATTTCTTGCCTCACTCTAATTAACCTGCTATAGAATTATTTCTTCCTTTTCTTCAAAAGGAGAATCTTTCTCCAAAATGACATGTTCTTACTCTCTCATCTTCGAGGACAAGGCTGGTGACAAGTTTAAGATCGAACACCTTGAAATCCTTAGTGGCTAGAAATGGGAGTTTTATACCATCTGAAAGTAAAGTATTTCAGTGTAGCTGTGTGATGTTTCATGATATCAAACCGCAAAGTTGTAATAACTATATTTGGAAACGCTACAGTATTTCTATAATTTATTTACTATTTATTTACTTATACTATATAATAGTATTTACAGATTTCTATGTTATTAGTAATTTTTCTCCCTTGGACGCCTGAAGTTTTATTCTTATTGTAACTAAGGGGCCTGACTTTGCAGGTGAAGGAATAAGACAAATAGTCCTGATACAATTTTAAAAGCCTCCAACATTTCTAAAGAAGTTCCTCTGAAATATATGGAACGTACAGAATATGTGATAGTGTAGTATAAATTTTAATCAGTACTTGCTTGGAAAAACTTATACCATACTTTACATATATAACAATATGAAATACCTGATGGGGTGGTAAACACACATGTGCTCCTTATTTTAAGTTTATCTCAACAGGGAATTGCATTTATATGATCGTTAAAAATATAAAGGATGTATAGTCTATCAAATGCTATAGGGTTCTATAAAAACATCTCTAAAAAAAAGTTTCCCCATATTAAATTCTGTTAATCTTTTTTCATAAAGGGAGTGGTAGGTGGATCAGTGCCTAGCTAGCTCTTTTTTTTTTTTTTAACATGGGGAAGGGGAAAAAAATCTTCCACTGGTTGACAAGACGAATGCTTATACATCTCCACCCACCCATGATAGAAAAAATAAAGCCAGATTACAAAGCTTTCTGCTGTGCAATTTGTACTGAAAACTATGAAGCCCTAAATAAACTTAAGATGCCATCCAGAGTCAACCTTAACACATCCGTGATCTGAACTATCACGGTTAATGAGAATTAATTTGTACTTACGAAAACAAAAGCTGAAAGTGGTGATTAATACAAAATTTTCATCATTATACTCAGTCAAGGCAAGTGTTTTGGTTGCATGAGCATGGACGATTTGAAGAGTGGACAGGTGTTCACTCACTTTTTACTCACATCGCAGAAGTCTCTTCCAAAAAAAGTTCTCAACAAGCCAAGCTTCAATCCTCTCTTGAAAGTCTTCCCACCCCCTATTAAAGTATAGCTGCACCGGTCACAAATGTCAAATCAACCAGGCTCATCAGGGGATCAAATAGCAGATTATTTACTAATTATTTAAACAAATAGCATCCAAAGCTATAGGGATACCCCCCATCACCACCCAACAATCAGGGCTGTGTAGAACAAGATAATTTGCTATAACCTGGCAATCTGTGCTGCAGTGACAGGCAAGGCAAAATCCAGAATTAGCCCAGGACAACAGTAAAAGAAAAAAATACACGTACTGAACTTTTACTAGGGAGTTGATTTTTTTAAAAAATCATGAAGGCTGTATTTACTGCCTATTTAGGAGCCATTAACTGCACCGATGGCCAAAGATTAAAAATTAGTGGTTGTCTTAATATGCTCTTTAATAAATCTATGTGGGGAAAGAACATAATTTTTCATTTTACTGATATACCTGTTCATTGCTTTAAAAAAAGCCTCAGAGAACAGTTACAACTATATTCACTTTCTGTAAGTTCAATCATGCATATAACAAATACTCTTGTTAGTTTGTGAGGCACTTTTCAATTCCAATATTAGTTGAAAAATCATTTAACAATTACTTGGCCAATCATTTTTAAAATTTTCTTTATTTAAGCTGTGTGTGTTATTAATCAGGGTTATCATCTATTACCATCCTGCACCAAAGCCATAAATAATAAATAAGGCTACATTTTAGTCACTGGTATTTTTATTTACAAGTCATGGACAGGTCACGGGTCGTAAACAAAAATTCACGGGCCTGTGACCTGTCCATGACTTTTATTAAAAATACCCACCCTGACTAATACTTGGGCGGAGGGCTGCGGGTGCTCTGGTGGGGGACAGTCCGGGGGTGCCGCGAATTCTAGGGACGGTGGCCCGGGACCCCTACTGGTGCTGGTGGAGGTGGGAGCCGGGCTGTGGCGTATGGCTTGGGACCCCCGCTGGTGCTGGGGGAGGGGTGGGGTGGCAGGGGCTTCCTACCCAGCTTCGAATGCTTATACATGCTTATCGTTCGTGTCCCTGCAGCTCCTAGGCGGCGGAGGCAGGGGCCAGGTCAGCGGCTCCAATGCTCCCGCCACGAGCGCCGGCTGCCGCAGCTCCCATTGGCCAGGAACCACAACCAATGGGAGCTGCGGGCGCAGGCAGCGCAGAGACCTCCTGCCCCTCTGCTGCCTAGGAGCTGCAGGAGGGCCATGCCAGTGGGAGCTGGGGAGCCCCCCACCCCGAGGTAAGTGCCACCCCGCACTCCCCAACCCCCTGTCCCTAGCCCCTTCCCACATACCCAAACTTCTGCTGCTGGCCCAGGGGCTGCCAGGCTCGGGCAGCCCCTGAGCAGCACCAGTCACTGCAGAAGTCACAGAGGTCACGGAAAGTCATGGAATCTGTTACTTCCGTGACCTCTATGACAGACTCGCAGCCTTAATAATAAACATCTTTGTGATCTTGAAAGTATAAAACATCAAAGTCAAAAATCTAGCCCACTTAAAAGTCTTCAGGAGAATTACTATACAAATATATGCTCTGCAATGCATACATGTCTATTATCCAAATGTTTTAATGAGCAAAATGTATAGTTATGCTTACAAGCTGATGCTCTAATCGTTTGATTGTTTCATCTTTTTTCTTCAGATCTTCTTTAAGCTGAGTGATCTCATTTAGCAGATCTTCAGTCTGACATATGAAGTAATAGAAAAATAGGCAACATGAAGTTTTCTCCATGGGGCTAGACAACACTATCTAATTTAACAACTCCCCAGGATATAGTAAATCAAATGCTCCTGAAGCACCAGCAGGAAAATATGTATTAATCATAATAAATTCCTCCTAAAATATATGTTAGGCTCTGCTTTTATCTCATTGTCCACATGCTGACATGGGCTATATGTATATATGCTGAAAGTACAGGTAAAAACAGTGGGGAAACTTGGCTGAACTGATACAGGGTTGAGCAAACACACTGTCTACTGTTAAATTTTTAATGTACGCTAGTTCCAATAAAAGTATTTTAAGCTCCTTTTTATTCACAATGGCTTTATGATCTTTCAAAATTACATAAGCTATTGAGAAAAAACTCATCACTGAGAATTACTGCATATTTATAACCCTGTTTATCTAACAATAAGTAGCAATACTATAAGTTGTGTGAATTGCAATTTGAAAATTGTCACATGAAAGTAGACTAATAGAATAGAATGAAAATAACAAAATTAATCACATTTTATAAAAAATTTGCAAACAAGGATAATTATTTCTTGCATTGTACAGAAAGCCCTGTTGAGCTGAATTTTAACTTGGATCAAACAGGAGACGTAAGACTTGAAGAGAAAAATGTTTATGCAAAGTTTTCAACGATTTTTAACCTTGACAGCTATGAAATTATTTTGAGTTTTCTTAACATCTTTTGCTTTCTGTGGCATTTTTAAGTATTTATCAGTGAATTAATCATGAATTAATCAGCTACACACAAAGCATTGTGGGGGCATATTTTCAGTTAACATTTGCATAGGATTTCAGTTTAGTAAAGACTGCTTTTATCTGCTGCGTTAGGATGAAACACTTAGACCCAAAGATCTCTTATGGTAATGCAAACCACACGCAGCTACCCATTAAAGAAAATTTAAAAGTCACAAGAACTGAATCTCAATTAAACCTGGTTTAGTTTTGAAAACAGAAGGCAATACTTTCTTTTTCTAGGAATTATTCATGTTTCAAGACAACATTTCTGAAAGACCTGAGATAGTACAAGCAGCGTAACTAGCTCAAAAGAGGACCACAGTACAAGGAGCAGAAATACAATTACATTGCACAGAGTATTTGTGCAAGTATTTTAGGTCCCAATCTTGCTGTTGGCTTGTGTAGGTGTCTCCTTGCATCGATGCTGATCCCTACTGACTTAAATGGAACTCCACAAAGGAGCAAGAGTCCGTCTGTGCAGAGCCAGCTATTGGACTATTTTCTAAAATGCAGGTCTTTTCCAGTACATAGCCAAATCTAAGAAATAGTCCTCTAATTTTGTTTGTTTCCTATTTCTGGTCCATTTTTTTAAAAAAATCCTTTACTATCAGTTTCTTGCAGCTGCAGCCTATAGATACTGGTGGATTTTATATCAATTTTAAGTGAAACATACTCAAATACTACAGTGATGGATAACACTATAAAAGATTTTTTTTTATAAAGCAGCACCCAAAACACATACCAGATCAACCCAAATCGAAAAGGAAAACCAGATCTATTTTGGGCCACTCAACTTTGTCAGTGTCCCTTTTAAATATCATAGAATCATAGAATATCAGGGTTGGAAGGGACCTCAGGAGGTCATCTAGTCCAACCCCCTGCTCAAAGCAGGACCAATCCCCAATTAAATCATCCCAGCCAGGGCTTTGTCAAGCCTGACCTTAAAAACTTCTAAGGAAGGAGATTCCACCACCTCCCTAGGTAACGCATTCCAGTGTTTCACCACCCTCCTAGTGAAAAAGTTTTTCCTAATATCCAACCTAAATCTCCCCCACTGCAACTTGAGACCATTACTCCTTGTTCTGTCATCTGCTACCACGGAGAACTGTCTAGAGCCATCCTCTTTGGAACACCCTTTCAGGTAGTTGAAAGCAGCTATCAAATCCCCCCTTATTCTTCTCTTCCGTAGACTAAACAATCCCAGTTCCCTCAGCCTCTCCTCATAAGTCATGTGTTACAGTCCCCTAATCATTTCTTGCCCTCCGCTGGACTCTTTCCAATTTTTCGAAATCCTTCTTGTAGTGTGGGGCCCAAAACTGGACACAGTACTCCAGATGAGGCCTCACCAGTGTCGAATAGAGGGGAACGATCACGTCCCTCGATCTGCTGGCAATGCCCCTACTTATACATCCCAAAATGCCATTGGCCTTCTTGGCAACAAGGGCACACTGTTGACTCATATCCAACTTCTCGTCCACTGTCACCCCTCGGTCCTTTTCTGCAGAACTGCTGCCCAGCCATTCAGTCCCAAATCTGTAGCGGTGCATGGGGTTCTTCCGTCCTAAGTGCAGGACTCTGCACTTGTCCTTGTTGAACCTCATCAGATTTCTTTTGGCCCAATCCTCCAATTTGTCTAGGTCCCTCTGTATCCTATCCCTACCCTCCAGCGTATCTACCTCTCCTCCCAGTTTAGTGTCATCTGCAAACTTGCTGAGGGTGCAATCCACACCATCCTCCAGATCATTTATGAAGATACTGAACAAAACCGGCCCCAGGACCGACCCTTGGGGCACTCCACTTGATACCTGCTGCCAACTAGACATGGAGCCATTGATCACTACCCGTTGAGCCCGACAATCTAGCCAGTTTTCTATCCACCTTATAGTCCATTCATCCAGCCCATACTTCTTTAACTTGCTGGCAAGAATACTGTGGGAGACAGTGTCAAAAGCTTTGCTAAAGTGAAGGAACAGCACGTCCACTGCTTTCCCTTCATCCACAGAGCCAGTTATCTCGTCATAGAAGGCAATTAGATTAGTCAGGCATGACCTTCCCTTGGTGAATCCATGCTGACTGTTCCTGATCACTTTTCTCTCCTCTAAGTGCTTCAGAATTGATTCCTTGAGGACCTGCTCCATGATTTTTCCAGGGACTGAGGTGAGGCTGACTGGCCCATTTCTAACAGTTGACAAGAAGGTGTGAGTAATGTTACTCACACCTTCTTGTCAACTGTTTGACATGGGCCATCCTGATTAACATACAAAAGTTTTTTTTCTCCTGCTGATAATAGCCCACCTTAATCGATTACTCGTTAGAGTTGGTATGGCAACCCCCATTTTTTCATGTTCTCTGTGTGTGTATATATCTATATCTATATCTAGCTACCTATTGTATTTTCCACAACATGCATCTAACGAAGTGGGCTTTAGCCCACAAAAGCTTATGCTCAAATAAATTTGTTAGTCTCTCAGGTGCCACAAGTACTCCTCATTCTTTTTAATTACACTGTGATCATGCTTGAAAATAAAAGAGTGTTCTATTTTACAGAAGTAATGAAAACTTGGCAATGAGACTACAATTTAGCACTCATTAAAATGCTTGTGGAGAAGTGGAGAGATGGCCATATTTGGGGAAGATCCTCTGGTGGTGTAAATTGTCATAGTTTCTAAGGACTGGCTCCTTCCTGTGAACATTATGGGACAAAAAGAGCAGCAAATGCTTAGGATAAATACAATCTATAAAATTAAAACCAAGAACTTCACATGCCATTATTGTAACATGTCCACTGCAAATATGAAAAGGCATATTTTTCTCAATAATTAACTTGTGTGTCAATTTGCACTCTGTTTTAAAGTTTCAAGCAGGCCATTTTACTTGAACAAACTTTAGATGCTATAAAAACAGGTCAACAGCTTTTGGGGTTTGTTTGTTTTGAAGTGTAGGAACCAAGGTGTAACAAAATACTACACAAGAAATTGTAAAATATATACTGTGTACCTTATTTGCAAGATATACTGCCATATGCGAGAATATAATTTGTCCATTTGTGGCGTAGCTATTTAAGAACTAAAGAGGTAATTTATTACAACATCAAAGAATGTATTACCTCACTGAGCTGATAGGACAATTATAAATATAAGAACTGTTTCTCACCTCAGCTTTATACTGGCTTATTTGATCTGGAAGTGCTAACTTTACAATTATATACAATACTGACAGAAACAAAGTTATGCTATTCTGCAATACAATCAATGTCAATTTACCTTATATATAGGCTCAACATCCTGTGGTTCTGGGCTTGATGGTATTGAGAGTGGGATGTCCTGAAGAGAGACATTCTCATCATTCTGCCAGAGAAAAGGAAAGAAATGAAGTCCCATTCTGTTTATTTGCTGAATAGCTAGTTCCCAAAGTCAGGTTCAGACACCAAAGTATAAAAATTGTGAGCCTTGCCATTATATTAAGAGAGTTGAGATTAACTTTTTCGATACCACTTAAGAAGTCATGCAATGAACAAGAATCAAGAGCTACATTTCAAAACTAAAACAAGCTTTATTTAAAAAAAAAGTGAAACCCCTAACATGCTTTTTTAGATCACATTCATGACATTCTTCCTTGCACCACCATTTGCATTGCATTTCCACTATTCTTACAAAGCAAAATAAATTGCAATTATGCAGTTTTGGAACAAAATGTATTTTTAATGCTGTGACACTGTACTTATATTTACTATTGTACTGTTTAGCTAATACCATCTCTTCACTTACAATTCGTGCCTTATAGAAGGATGGTCTGTCAAAACATCTCTAATAGTACTAATAGTGAACCACATACATGTGCTATAACTTAGAACAAGAAACCTGGTCCCCAATGGTTCCAAATACCTGTTCAGAAAAATTAGTGAGAGGGACACAGTGGAGTGGTGGACCAAAGAGCCCTGAAATAGTGTACCTTGTTATTGAAAACCAGGCTACATTTGCAATGTTTCACTTTTCAGAATCCCATGCATCTGTCTCTATTTAAGAGTTGCAATAATTAGGAAAAAATATAACATGTCTGACCAATATTAAAATGTGACTCACACCTAAGTTATACTAAAATAGTTCTTACCTCAACTGGGGATTATTTCTTAAACTTAAATATTTTTGCTTGTTAATAGGTTGACTAATACAGAATGAATCCACAACTATCAGACCCTAATTTTTTTTTAAATCAGCCCAATATGGTGCAGAGTGAGAGAGCACATTTTATTTTTAGCACTGCATTCTGAAATTAAGCACAGTCAGTACAACTACAAAGATCCTGAAAAGATGACAAAAGATAATTGCATGACTGCTTCCTGAAGCATTTAAACAGCCATGACAAACAGCTGATAATGTGAAATGCTCTGTACCAGTGATACTCAGTCTTAAAAAGCCAGTTATGTCAAAGAATAAATCAGACAAAATCATTGGAGAGAGAGTCTCATGTCATGTTACCACATTTGTATTACGTTTCATATGTTGCCTCAAATCACTACACAACACAAACATTACAATGCAACACACTATTTTAAGGTTCTTCAAGGCTTCACTCCTGCTCCCATGCTATAGAGAAAAAGGGTTCTCTTTCTGCCTAGCTCATTAGCTTCTGAAAGGGAAGGGGATTATTTGTGGTTGCTATCCTGGTCACTTGGAAGGATGAAGACTGATCCTGTTTGTTTCTCGATATTTGCTCAGTGATCCCCACATGCCTCAGATAGCATTTGGAGAACTCATATGATCTGCATTTCCTTCAATCTGCTTGTAACCAGGCAAAACAAAGAGTTCTGGTCATACTATTAGATTTCATGAGTGCAAATGTACCTCTATAGCCACAGACTGATTAAACAAACCGAATGGATCTTACTAAAATAATTACCATGGATATGCGTGTTTTTCCCCGTAATGTGAATTACTTCCCATAGAATTTTGCTATTAAATTACACAGAGCACTTGTCACTGAATGAAGAGAGGTCTTCAGATGCTTTTATAAAAATTAGCAAAAAAGTTATATGGAAGAAATTACAATGTAGTTTGAACTGGTAAAGTATTTTTATGAGATTCTCCTTTACATGTTTGCTTCTCCATTTGCCAGTATCCACTGGCAGCAGCAGCAGCCATACATCACAACCCTCAGCATCCTTAAACACCATGTAGAAATTACCACATATTTTTTGTAAAAAATGGTTTTGTTATAATAAAGTTTAAATTGAATTTACACTTGCAGGATACAACCCTGCTCCTTACAATGACCTCTCGTCTGCTCTTTTTACTGTCTGACTATTGATCCTCAAGAGGGTCAAATTTCATTTCAGCTTTTCTTACTGAAGGCTTTTGACCACTTGGTGGAGACTGTAATTTATCTTAAACCTCACAGGGCATATAGAGTGCCATTCACTTCACCAGCTGCTGCTAGTTCTTCTGTGCAGCTTGTCACCTGTGCAATATGCTCATATGGGCAGATAATGGTCCACTTTGATTAAGATACTTGTAGGATGATTTTTAAAGGAATAAGGTAATGGTAGGCCTCAGTAAGAAGCAAGCAGTACCTGGTGGATTTCATTCCACGGCAAATGCCTTTTAAATGTTATGTTAAATGGTTATGCCTTTCCCCGTAGTTATATGCAGTTAGGAAAAAGGGTACACAAAGAAACATGTATCAGTTTATGCATGGGAAATTAAAACTATTATAGAAAATTCAACGTACAATTTAAAATTAATTTGCATACATTTTAAAAAAGACTGTCAAAGGGGCCTCGAATAATTCTTGTCACCCGCACATGCAGACAACTAAAGAGGAATTCTAGTTAAAACTACTGACTTCATTACAAAAGGAATTAACGTGCGTAGGATATGTCACATCAGCAACAAAAGATTTGTATGTGTTATAGTCTTTTTAAGCCCTATCATACACTTTTATATTTTCAGAATCAAAGCAAAATGCAAGTTCATTTTCATTGCTCTTCCCATGATTAGATGAGTCACTTCCAATGCTTACAGTACACAGGTCTAACAATATACGTCCACTGGAACCTCAGCACCCTATTCTGCACAATAATGACTACAAATACAGTTATTTTAGAAGGAGTTCACTGTTTTCCTGCTTCCCTCTTTCTTTTCAGCTGTATTGCCAACATGAAAAGTTTAGCACCAGAAGGAGCACCACTTTCCCTATGTAAAGAAAGGGAGCTTCAAACAGGATTAGCAAGAATAACTACAACTAGCTATTAAGACTTACTACATTTTGACTGGGTAGATATAATATGTAGTCATGTGTCACCTTTTGGGAAATTTGAATAACTGAATGTAAACCTTTATTTTCAGAAATATGTAATAATGCATAAAATGAAGCTGTTCTCTTATGCGGTCATGTAACATTGGACCTACGTTTAGTAAGTCAACCACCAACATATCAAACAGCAACACGCATACATACATACATAAGTTCTTTATTCAACTGACATTTTCTAAATAACTGGAATATTTTATTACTTATCGAGGAATATCAAAAGGTTAAATATATATTTTTATAGTAGATGTGTGTAAATATAATTAGGCTAGTCACATTTGTGCCTAATGTAGCTACTCAATAAAACACTTCTTTGCAATGAGGACCGCTTCAGTACAATTTGATGTAAATCCAAAGAAACTCGAAAACAAATACTTTCCAAATATGCCTAATTTGAATTTTACATAATAAAATCAGCAGCAGCACAAGACAATGTTACCTAATTTCCTTAATTGAAAGTTGATTCTGGAAAGTGGTGCTGTTAGAGAAAACAGAAAATTAATCCAATACTATTTGTAACTATTTTCTAATTAATTTAAAACGCGTGATAAACAGCTTATAAATCTCCATTCCCAGTAGTCCTATTATGATTACTTCTGACATTTATTCAAGTTTAGACAAGGAAACACACTAATTGTGTTTCTGTTCTACACATTGGAATGTCTCACATTTAATTAGCCACGTAGAAAACTGAAAACTGAACCTATAATACAGAAACTGTTTCTACACAGCCTACAAATGACATTGATTGCATTGATATTTAAACCAAGCAATCTCTGTTTTGACAAAAGATCGATCATTGCTGCTTTATATCCACATCCTTCTGTTTAAGGATTGTCCTTTTCTGTTGGCTATGACTACCAGTAATCTGAGACACTCGTTTTCCATACATATTTTCAATTTAATTATTTTTGTTGGGATTTTTCTCTTCCAATTTGTTTTACTGGACTTTTACGTCCTGACTCAATAAGGTACTTAAGCATCTGGCTAACTTTTAGGAGCCCCGTTGCAGTCAACTGGACTACTCATGTGCTTAAAGTTAGGTATGTATTAAAGTACCTTGCTGAAACCAGAGCCTCAGAGCTGAAATCAGAAGTGGTCCCAAGTAAGTCATGACACTTGGAAAAGTATCCACACATCTTATCTCTAGCGATAAAATCATAATACATGTGCTCTCCCCCTCCATCTTCCTACTGGAAAAACTAACACAGTTAAAAGACAAAAGGCTGCCCCCCCCCCCACTCACTCCTCTTAATTGCTACATTTCTGAAGAGCAACATCCATATTTTCATAAATAACTTTTGCCACTTTACGTGCAATGTGTTTATTTTGTACAACAGTACAAGTTTGGTGACAACAGAGTAAGACTCAAAAGGCACAGTTCTTTTACAGTGCCCTGGGATTAAATCTAAGCAGTCAGTTCTCATCAGTTTAAATTAAGAATTGAGCTGACTTCCATTTTGCAATCACAATGGCTATTACTTAGAGTGGCACTTGAATTTATTCACGACATTTTTATTTCAGTTTTAAAGTGGAATATGAAGCAGTGAGTCTACAACCCACACAGAAAGTTAATTTCATTCCAAAGAAATCTGCATTTTTGTTAAGGGTCACATTACAGATCAGCTGACTTTATTGTCTTAGAATGGCGTTAATGAATGTTATGGGTTTAATTTTAAATGCTATACACCAAGATATAATACTTAACAGCTCTTTGTTTCAGAAATTTAAATGTTCTCTAATGCAACTTACGTTACTCTAAATGATTTAGTGTACTTTTACAATATATTTGAAGTATATATAACAAATATTGAAGTGCTGATTTAAAATTTTCAAGCCTGCATCTGTAATTGTCACATCTATACTTTAGGGTGGGAAGTAGTATTTAATATAAAATATTGGTGGTTAATAACAGAGTGCTTTACCTGCCTCTAATTCTGATTTCCCCTAAGATGCCATAAAAACCCCATTTGACTAAAATTGTGTAGGTCACATCCCTGAATAGGCACGAAGACACAATAAGTAAGATCTGGCCTCA